TAGCCAGACACGTGCTGTTGCCTTCATAGAGTACTTGTATCTTGTATACAGAGTGAAGAGTATACGTATATGAATTTATATAAACTGGGACCGACGTTTGTGTACTTTATTTATTTGTGCTAGCACAATGCTCCAAGGTTACCATCAGAAAGCTGATTCGCGAAATTTATCCCGTGTGAATGTGGAAATAGTGTACGAGTGTTTGGCAAATAATAGAAATTTAAATGAACCTCAGAGCAGCGGTGTTAAAGTCTTTCAGTAAGTACCTATATGAAGCTAATTTTTTTTTGTTTAGTTCCAATGGGTAGTATTTTTTTGTATTTCTCCGCAAAATTGTTTCTGCTTTGCTTTAGTCTATTGAAAGCTAATAACATTAAGACATAATAATGCCTGCTTGTGACAATAATGTTGAAGTCTATTTATCTCTGCTTTTTTCTTCCTAGGTAAAATATTATGGCATTTAAATTATCATACATACCTTTTTAACTTGTTACGCCTATTAAGAGCCCCGAAATTGGTTCTTTTTGGATGCATAATGAGGCTTTATTACACTATTCTGAAGTAAAGTATGGTAACTAATATGTTTTCAATGAGAGAAATTCCAGGGATGTAGAGAGATTCTTATTTTTTTAGGAAGGAGGAATATTGGGGAATACTTAAATTAGGGGGTAGGGGAAGTCACATTATAGAATTTTATAGCTACTAAAATAACAAAGTTTAGAGCTGCATCGGGGGATGGGCAATGAAACCAGGTTCTAAACGTTGACTAATATTGCGCTTAGAATGACTACGATCTCGGCAGTAAGCTGGTCAGCTTCGCTGTCACTAGTTTCAGTATTGCTTCCACTGGCTTCATACGAATCAGATTCGGATGTTTCTGTTATTGCGGGACTTTTAAGATTTGCCCGTTCATTTTCCACTTGCAAACGTTTTTTTGGCCGCTCTGAAGTCTGTTTAGCAAGCGCAGGAATTCTTATTGGCGATACAGCAACATCCATTACTTTCCGTTTATGCGAGATTTGAACTGACTTGCTTTTAAAATGTACCTGTTTGGTTTGGCATGACTTGTCACATACCTGTGACTGAACTTGTACTGTCAAAGGTTCAGGCAGTTCATCATGCTGCTCCTCAGTAACTTCCACGCCTTCAGGCTCGGGCTTTTCGGTTGAGGGTCCCGCCCGGCGTGCCGCCGCTGGCTGCAGATATTCGGCGATGTCTTTCTGCCTTGCAATTTTTTCGCTGAACACTCCTTTCCTAGAGCTTAATTGTCTACCCAGTTGACATGCAAATTTATGAGGTGCAATATTAGGATTCATCCGGACTCAAACGGTACTCATCTTGTATTGTAGATAGTTTTCCATATTTTTTTCCAGGTCAAAATGATCTTCGCAGCAGTACATGGTCGACGTGGAAGAAACTGATTTTACATCCCGTCGAGCTGCGTAACCACTTTTTACGTTGTGCGGCAGCTTTTGGAACACTCACAAAAATTTTTTGTGGTGTTGTACTTGACATACTTGTACATTTTGGCACAAAACACCACTTTCTGTTCGACATTTAACACCGTCAAAGTTCACAGAATTTAACAATAATCTATCGTACCAGCTCTCACTACTCCAAACCGATTACTGGTGCGTTGTTGTGAGAATGGTAGATGCAGCAGGCCAGCTAGCGAGGTGTGTCTGGCTACTGATGTCACGCGGTCTAGTCTCGCGCACAGGTACGTTTTCCAGCCTCGCGCCGATCCTTGATTTTGAAGTGCATTTAGTCGACGCAAATATCAATATGTTTTGCTTGATTTTTTTTGTATTGTTTTTCAATAACAAAATCTCTCGATCTGCGTAAACATTAAAAAATGGCAAACCTTCATATTATGGTCATTAGGCAGCTGTCATCGCGCACACAGTGAATGCATACTTCTAGAGTTTGGTTCAATCTTTTTCAACTTAATGTAAGTTATAAAAATACAGTGTTCGAAGCATCAGATATTCAGGGGGTGATTATTTGGACTATTCTAAGACTATTATGCTCTTTGAAATAGATCTTCGAAATACTAGATTATTTCAAAGATATAGGGAGAGCAAAATTTTCGAAAATAACTTTTTCTATTTTTCTTGGGAAAAATAACTTGTAAAGAAAAAAGATCAGACAAAAGACTGTGTTGCTGTGGAAGCGCGGATTAACTTCTTTATAGTAGTCCAGAAAACACCCTTTGTGTTTCTATGAGATGTTTAGGAAACGTACATAATAAATTGAAAATGTTTCAGTGACCTCCCTGCTGAGCTATCCAACCTTCTGGCTACTATCCACCATCATACTGATCATGGCCGTATGCATCTGTGTACAAATCACCTACCTGAACCGCACCTTGGACCTCTTCAACGCCAGCATAGTTACTCCTACTTACTACGTTTTCTTTACCGGTTTTGTAATCGCGGAGTCTATAGTACTCTTTAGAGAATGGGAGCTTATGACCGCCGGCGATATGGCCGGTGCTCTATGCGGGTTTTTTGTCACTGTTGTCGCGGTGTTTGTGTTGAGTACTTCTAAAGATGGACATCAGCAGACGAGACATCTTGGAGTTAATACTTATTTTGCTGTTAAAAGTTGAGAGTCTCAGGTAGATTTATGTGAAAGTAAGAATTGCAAATTGCTACCGTGTCGGCAATATGATTACTGCAGATACAACACACAACAGTGTGTACGATGTGGATCTTAAAGGTAGTAAAGTATCCTTAGTAATGAGATTGATGATGTGGTGACCATTTGCAATCGAATTTGTGTAGCATTTCGTTTTTTTTGCCCGCGATCTGCGCAGCAGACAGAATGGAAATTAACCCACGCGGTTAGTGTCATCAATGATGATGCATAGATTGATAGTATAATCTTATTGAAAAGTGACCCATTTTAAGGAATCTGCATGTTGCCAGGCCCCAATTTGCTTCAAATTATTTTTGTTCAATTTTTTTCCATTCCAACAATTGTTTTTTCACTCCAGTCAATGTTTTTTTTTAAGAAATTCTGAACAAAAAATGTGCTCTAGAACTTGCCCCTAAGGTTTGTAGTTTTAGAGATTCTAGCGAAAAATTAAAAATTGCGAAATATGCCATTTTCTACCTCGAAAAACAATACGAAAAAATGAAAGTTTTAATGCTGCCAAATGTCCTAAATATTCTATAAACATCCTTTAACAGGTTATCAAAGCATTATAGGCGGTATTGTTTATTGTAAACATGTGTTTTGTTAACCAAGCCTGCAATACGTGTGTTAGAGATAGAACCACCTCGTTGCCTAGCAGCACAAGTGATAGCGGTTTGCCGCATTTTGCCATCGGTGACTCTTTCTAAAATGTATATTTTACGCTTCTCGTGCTTTTCTCTCGTACACATTACGACGTCAGCCAAATTTGAACCTCAAGGTATATTCTGCGTGAGCTCAAGAGAGATGCAGCCATTAGCCGCGGCGAGGATTTCTCATTTTCATGCATCATACGTTGAACGTGCATTTAATCAATAATTAAAAACAATTGTTTAAAATAACATCTAAAATGATTTGAGAATTTGTTAATGGATGTTTAAAGGCTATTCAGGAAGTGCGGCAACATTGAAAGCATCGTTTTTTTCATTTTGTTTTTCGAGATCAAAAGTGGGATATTTTGAACTTTTTATATATTGTATTAGAGAAAAGTTATAAAGCACCTTTTTGTTCAGAATGTCCTGAACAAATCTAAGGACATTAAGACTGGGACAAAAAAATTCTTTTTGAAATTCGTCTAAAAAATTGTTCAAATTTTTTTGGGGTTGGTAGCATGCAGATTCGTTGGAAGAGATGAGTAGTAGATCCACTTGCACTTAATAACACTAGAGGGAATGGAGCAGCTTCTAAAATACTTTTAATTTCAAAGGAAACTGAATAAAAATGAAAAAGGCCTAACTTAGGCACTCTTTAGGCTACCAAAATTACATTTTCATGAAACAGCGCCCTCTTAATTACTTTTGAAACTGTTTATAAATAATACCAGTCACTTAATGTGAAGACTCTTTAACAGTTGCACTTATTCTTCTTTGCTCTTTTCCTTTTTTTTTCTTTCTATTTTTCCTTTGATTTTACATAAAGGCATAAACGAATTGAACTAAAAGTAAGTAAGTAACTTTGACATGTAAATATTTGCAAGCCTGTTGGACATACAGTACACCTCTGACAATTTTTACCACTTACTACGCTAATCTATTCAATCTACAGATATCTCATAAAAATTTTATTGCTTGGAACATATACACAGAATATGAGCAACAAGCCAAATGAAATTGGTGGTGTTGCATGCTTTATTATTACTGCGATCCAGTGCCAAACGTTTTTACTATGACACGTTCTATATTCTATTTAAACTTGGTTTTTGTATAATATTTTACGTCTCAGCTCTCTTTTTGCCGCAACACAAACAAACTATTTTCTTTCGTACACATGAAGCAATCGAGAAAATCTTTAGAAGCATCAATTCCACGCAGTACTTTTTAAGGCGGAGTTCGCAGGGTATTGAAGCTAAGCAGTTTCAAACTGTGACAACTTACATGTTGAAAAAATCAACCACAAAAGTGATTTATAACTTTATGGAAACAGAAGTCATTCGTAGAACTCATAAGTTGCCCTCTAAATTTTTACTATCCTGAATGTCCTAGAAACCCTCGAACAAAACTAAGTAGCAACATCTACTAGTACGGTCAGCTGTAAAGATTATCACCGACTAGTGCCCAAGCAGCGAATAGCGCGCCTATTGTTAGTAGCCGCGATAGGTATGTGTAAATCTGTAAGATAATTTGTATTTTCCAATTAAGGTGTCATATATACAGGTTTATGTGACTAGTTATTCTCTCTACATGACTCTCGATATAGTTCTCATTTTTAAAGGAACCTTGCACAACTGATATTCAATTTTTTATAGGTAGGTACACTTTTTTATAGTAGTTTATAATATTTATTTGATGCATGGAAACAAACGCTTAGTTGAATGTACAACATTTATTTATTTTAATAGATTTTATAAATAAATATACTCTCAGTAGGAACTGGATATTAATTCATATCTATACGTGCGGTAAATATATCTACATCTCCACGTTCCTGAATACCTTAAAAATAAAGATTATTAGTAACCTCAAATCACAGCCTCATGTGCATATTGTTGCTAAAATACTCTACTGGTTTGACTCTTACGATGACAGCAATTTCACGAACTCTGAAAAGAAAAAAGTTGCTTAAACGAGGACTTATACTAATCTACATAAATGTCTTTCCGATGTTTTATGTATTACAACCATGTCAAATATACTGTGATTGGTCAAACAAGCAATTTGAGGTTAGCAAATATTTCAAGTTCAAGCAGACACTTCTCAACTAAATCGTGTAAAATTCCGCTTATGGCCGTAAAAGTTAAATAGCTATGTGATAACTTACAAACTTATACACCGCACGTTCCCTCCGCTTTACGAAAACAGAAATTATTCTCAAAACCAGTAAGCTCTCAGTTGTAGTCAACATTTTTGACCGTTACGTCATCACCGCCATATGAAATAAGTAAACAGATCGAGTCTCCGTACCACGGCCGGAACACTGCGCAGACTAATCTTCAGCTCATCTACTACTCTCTCCAGTACGCATCAAGTGGGTAACAGGGGACCGCTGTTTTCACTCTTCCTGGATATACTTTAATAAATTTAGCACGAGCTGTGGGCCTTCTCCATTGATCGTATTTTCGAGCATTGTACAATTTTATATTGAAGATTGATAACAGGAAAACTCGAATTGCACGCCGATGTCAAGTAAGTTGTCACTCTGACAAATATGATTGAAGGGCACTCATACGTAACGACAAAGTTTACGAGACGGAGACAAACAACTAAAAACGTATGTCTTTGAGCTTACCGAACAAACGTTCACGCACAGAGGTATATATTATAGGTTGCATGTGTATGTATAAGAGAGAGACGGAGATACTGGTAGTCTTACTTTGACCCGACAAGAACGGTGACTACAACTATACTTTAATGGCCCTACACAGAATATTGCACGATTCAGTTTAATGACAAAGAAGAACTGTTTCGTTGGATATCAATTTTATTCTGACCTTAAATTGCTGACCAGTCGTCGGGATATGTGGCATGGTTGTCAATTATCTAGACAGCCTGACCTTACACTCGTATAGTATTATGATGGAAAGTTCCAACGCATTTTTCAAAAATTCTAGACGTGCATGTAATGTCAGTTTTGCTGGAGCGTGGGGCCTCAAACAGGTCAGTTTCGATGATAAGCTCCCAGATACCGGGAGCTTTTATTTTCATATTCCAACTCAGCGTTCCACAATTTAGAAATCTTGCGGTCTAATAATGACTACAATTGTTAGAGGGCTAAGGTCGTGCCAATATTGATTTCGGACAAACAGGTGCCGAGTGTGGCTCGGCTTTCTTAAGCCAAAGGGGAATCACTGGTGGTCTCAAAGCAGGACCATCGGGTGGTATCGCGTGTTCATGGAGGATTTCAGTCTCGGGGGTGAAAATTGCCGGCGTCTGAAAATGGAAGAGTCATAAAGTCTCACAGTAATCGATTCTGGTTATAGATGGCGCCATGCGCTGTTTTATTTCCACAATTCTTATACTTTGGATAGAGGATAATTGCTATGCTTTTGCTCGTCCCAGAGGCTAAACGTAGAGCATGCTGATCAGTTGCCAAAAAGCACGAAACAAACTTCGCATGATTGGCTGCCTTTGGTCGAATGGACGAAAGTCACAGTGGTGACTGGGCTATCAAACGCAAACTGAGAATCTTTACACTTCCAACAGATAGTTGCTAAACAATCTTGCAGTGGCCGATTATGGTGATAGATGGCGATTTGTGCTGCCTTATTTCGATAAATCTCATCCTTATGATCTCGTTAGGTATACCGACATTTGTTGTATTATTTAAGTATATGCTAACTTACTGTTAGTATCGTAAACAGTTGCGGATTCAAAGTTTGTACTATTAAAAGGCTCTCGTGTTGTGGTGTTGTTAAATGCAATAGTAATGCAGAATCCAGTCCTTTGGTGAGAACAAATACAAAGAAATCAATTACACCAAAAAAACTTCTAACACATAAAATAAACGACGCCAACACGAGGTTATATTTCACCCATATCAGGTACTGTACACCTTAATGGTTTGGCCTGCCGAAATATGGACCAATTGATTGCCTCCCAAGATTGTGTGATGAGATAGACCTATCTATGGACTATGTAGCATGTCAAATCAATCATCTCTTTGTCGCTATACCAAAGACAGTAGACAAGTTAGAAGCCAGTATTCGTTGTTTTATTGCCAATATACGTTCCTGAATGTTTCAGGTGATTGAAAATTGCTTTGTGGAATTTTGAATTCTCTTAGCCAACTCTCTGATACATTTCATGACTTATAAGGCTTTTTTAACATACTCGCCTAAAGTAGGATGTCGACTGGATGCTTAATAATATATACACAGGGTGACTTTGAAGTTGAGTCATTAGTTGTCAGATAATGATTGTAGAACGAAGATAAACCAAAATATGTGTGTAAAAATAAAAAAAAAATGTTACCGGGTCTTATAAAGTATCCTCCCGACAAGTATTTCAGTGCGGACCTGTATTTGATCGTGCGGTCTTGGAGCACCGGCATGCTCTCCCCTGTGAGGTCTTAAGTCACCTGATTCACGAGCGCTTTGTACTACATTAACAAAGGCATGAGGGGTTGGTTGCACTCGATTGGGAAACCGATTCGCATAAATCCGTGATGCCGCGGCAGCATTTTGTAAAGACTCCCCCCCCCGTAAATAAGAATCATGTCCACAAGTTCAGCATTTTCGTAAACATGTGCCATTTTTTATTTCGTTTGAGCCACGCAACAAACACCACTATTCACTCACGCGTTACCGACTGACACATTGACTGAATACAACTGAATAAAATTGTAGTAAAAACAGCGTGATAAGCGTTTCAAATTCTTTCGCTTTTTTGTTTCCGATGCGATGAACCGATAAGGCGGATTATATCCGTTGTTGCCAAACACGAGCACATAATATTATTATTGAGACAGGGCGGTACTCAAACTTCTAAAGGGCTATAACTTTGTTACTTTAATTTTACCACACAAATGTTAAAGGAAAAACACCCTGTATATATATATATATATATATATATATTATATAAGATGGAAAAATAGTAAACCTTCATAGCTGATCCTATTGTCGTTATCCAAATCTGCAGTGCGAATGAGATTGGTGAGCTGACTCTCTGTAACAGACTCTCCGATCATCTCCATGGCAGTTCTCAGCTCCTCCCTGGTGATGTAGCCGTCTCCATCGAGGTCAAATACTTGGAAGGCGGCCCCTAGGTCCCTGGTCACGTCATCTTCCACCTCGGGCACAACCAGTTGCATTTGTTTTATGAAGGTTAGGAAGTCGTTTTCGTCTATCAGCTCGCTACCTGGAATGAAGAATGCTCATTATCTGAAGCTTGAAGATGCCGCTAGGTGACACAAATTGCCACATACCCTTGCCAGCCTCATTCGGGTTTTGCGAGGCACTATTCCAGAACCGCAGAGGTATTACGTATCTTGAAAAGTGACGTATCGGTTTTTTGACATTACATAGGTTTTTTGTGACATTATGTACGTTTTTCTAAAAGATGTTAACTTGTAGCTGTTGTTCACTTGATGTGTACTCGTTATTTAGTAATACGTGTTGCCTAAACGCTATGACGCTTCAGCTATCATGGTTTAGCTCTGATGTGATTTAACATCTGCTTCAGAGATGGCAATATTGGAGGTCTGAGCTTTAAGTTGGATACTATTGCTGGAAGGAAACGGCAGAGCATTGGTGCATAGCGTGTATTTGTGTGCTAATAATCTGCGTTGATGATAATTAAATTGGTTTCTTGTTTCAAATACACTCACTTGAGATGAGTGCAAAGCTAGAAATTAGTCGCGCGTCCACTGTTTCTTATTAATCCTGGAAATTGCATATGCTAATTTGTTGGATTTCAAAAATGAGAGAGTTGAGAAAAGAAAATGTTTGTCTGGCATAGTAGTATATTACATCTAACAGGTGATAAAGGTGATAAAATATGCTACAGACAGAGACATATTTAGGAAACGCGGAAAGGTTATTACATTTTAAATTATTTCATATTTAGTTACTTAAATTTTATAGAAATTTATTTTGCCATGTCATTAGAAAATACAAAGCAGCGCCTAAATGTGAGGCACTGCAAAAATGTTTTCTGTGATACCTCATTTCTATTTTTTTCTGTGATGTGGCTTTGAACGTAAGAGAATATATTTATTTTTTAAAATAAGACCTTGCATATAATTTTGAACATACCTCTCATTATAAAGGACAACACATAAATAACCCGTCTGCCATAGCTAATACTCGGAGGTATATTTCAGGGGCATATTCAGTAATAATTTTCTCACATAGCAAATATCACTAATCTTATACACATTCAGACCAATACACACAATCAGATGCGGTCTTGCTACTCAGTCAATTTTCTTTGAGCATCCAACGAAGCATGCTATTGGTGACGCTCATAGCGAGCAAACGCAGAATGAACTATTTGCACACTGGGGACAATCTAGATCTAGACAGTAAGCTGACATTTCTTCGTTTTTTTTTTGACATATAGCTTTTTTACGTAATAACCCTGCCATTTTGATTCCGCGCAGTGGTTCTCGACATTTCAAATCGCATTGCGATTGGCTGTTGGTAGTTCAAGACTGTTCTGGCATCGTGGAATTCTTACTTCTACAAATCCTTATGAATCTACTATACATAAAATGCAACTCAGATTATTACTTTGGTTAATAGAATTCGGTACCACAATAACAAAAATCAATGATCTAATTCAACTGACTAGTAATACGTTTCCTGAAATTCCTGGATTTTAAATATTCGAGCGGAAAATACTTGCGCATCTCATGTTCACGAGATAATAAATAACCTCCACCATCTGATGCAACATTTACGTAATGAGGGTGGTGTTATAACTGATCTGATATAATTAAGTCTAATCTGTATCATAAATCATTTTCAATCACATTGATGTTCTTATCAAACTGATAACCTAGGATGAGTTTAATTGATACTAAACATAAATATAAAAGAGCACACGTTTTACCTGAATGACTCATAGCTCTGATTATCTCCTCTACTTTTTCTTCTTTAATTTCGATGCCTAAGTTATTCAACATAATTTTCAGTTCTCCTGGTGTCACCCTGCCATCTCGGTTCCTGTCCAATAACTGGAACGCTGTTTTCAGTTCTTAAACATAAAAATTGTAAAATCATGTTGATGCTTTTCTTAAAGTTTCTTAGACTTGTTGATCTCTGATATAGGATAATTCGTTAGTCCCTTATTATCAAGATGTCCCAATATTCCATGGACATACCACGGAAGTACCACGAATTTTCAGACTCACAATATGTCGATTGGACATGATTTACCTCCATTAAAAAGTGCTTCGTTTGTGTCTTAGTGGGCGTCAAAGTTTACTTTTTAGAACACATTTTTTTAGATATTTTGTAAACCACTAGTCCGATTTGCTAGATGTCCTAATATTTGACAAAATATCGGAAAAGGTTCTGGAAGAGCGAAAAAAGATCCTTCTAATTGCTTAATTTTTTGTCTCATATAAATAGGCCATCTCGCATAGTTTTCGAGAGTGAAATGTTCTTCGGGGCTGGTTTTTAAAAAATGTTCTTTTTCAATTGTTAAAAATCCTTGCTCCATATTGTTATGTGCGGAAATGGTGTTTTATGAAAAATCCGCACTATTGCCTATTTTAAATAAAATTGTAATAAGTAATATTCTTTTTCTCGAAAACTATCCAAGATGGCCTTTTTCTATAGGATACAAAGATCTGCTGAATAAAAAAGTCAGAGTCGTCGGGAAAGTTGCCAAAAAATTTTGCTATGTAGGGGTGGGGGTTGTTTTCACCTTTCTCGAACCCTTTAGAGTTGTTCGTAAAAGTCAAATATTGGAACGTCTAGTAAAACATGTGTTCCAAATTTCATTCAAATCGGACTATCGGTTCTTAAAATATCTTAAAAATGTGTTTAAATAAACTTTGGCGGCCTTTAACGGAAAAATGAAGCACTTTTGCATAGAGGTGAATTATGTCCAATTCACTTATTTTGAGTCTAAAAACTCCTTGGTACTTTTATGTCAATAGAATATTTGGACACTCTGTATACACTTTAAGCTATATATTTTTGGAACATATACCAAAAATTCAGGGTATTATTTTTGTTCTTCGATTATCGAAAGTCCTCTTAATTTCCGATACAATTTTTATGGCACAATGTTTTGATAGGAGTTTCTAGATTTTCAAAAAACATTTAAAATTACTCCAGCTGGAATACAACACTACAACCTCCTCGTCATAAACAACTAAACTCTTTGGAATATATCAGAGTTTCTTATCACCGAGCAACCTCCGAATTATTTGTATTGAGTGTTTAACAGAAACATACAAAGATCTCGCTTGAAAGATCTAGAAGCGAGCCTGCTCGAACTCCAGACTTGAACCCAGTGAGCGCCTTGAATTCTCCCTACAGAAGATCATTTTGAACAGTTTTTGTAGATGATGCTTCATTTACTAACATCTTTACCAGAAAAAATTGTATGACCTATGAAGCGTTTTTCGAAAATCATCAAAGTTGAACATATATTTAGAATTGTCCAAAGAATTATCTCTTGAAGTTTTGCTTCCTGTTGTGGAAACACCCTGTGCATTTTTGCTTCGGGTTTTAAAAGTGAACAGAACACACTTGACCTAGATCCCGCATAGTACAACGACAGGAATCTATTAATAAGACATAGTAAATAACACTTAATAGAGTCCATCACACTTCTTTATTAGCATTGGCATACGACCAAAAATTCGACAAATTGAAAAATTAATTTAGCTTGTACAAGCGAAAAGCGAAGACAGGTTGCCAAACATCAAATTATGCAAGCGAAAATCCTGGAGAGCTGTCGAACATAGTTCTGAAATATATATTTAAAAGCGTCAGGATATTTATAACAGTTCAACATAAAACTAAAAACAATGCGTTTGTGGAAACGGTTTTTTGAGAATTGCAAATTCTTGTATTTTTGCTTGTTGAGTGTATAATCAACATTTATGTACCTAGTAGAATTGCTAGACATTTCAGCCGTCGTCTATTATAGTTTATGATCTCATGTACCACGGAATATCTACAGGGATAATCAAATTTTTCTGACTTCTTGAGTTCTCCACATGACCTCACTCTATACAAAGCCCAGATATAAGGCTGGACTGCTCACATATTTGGGGTGCTGCCGCCTTGACTACATTATTGGTGCTCAACGCTGTTCAGAGGAGGGTTGTCCGACTGATCCATGGCTCTTCTCTAACAGAAGGGATCGTTTCGCACCGGTGGGCCGTCGGCGATCTAGCTCTCTTCTATCGCTACACCAATAGACTTTGCTCCTTAGAGCTCCCCTCAATGATGCCGCCGCGCAATGTGCCTGCCAGACAGACGTGCCGAAGTACGTACATCCAGAACTGGGCGGTACGACCGCTCCTTTGCCCTTAGGGTGTCGAGATTGTGGAACAATCTACAAGAGGAGTCTTTTCCCAGTTCTGCTGATCTTAGGCAGTACAAAAATCGGTTTAACAAAAATTCTTTGGGATCCTCATAGCAGCCGCCTTGCCCTGGCATTCGATATAAAAAAATCCTCGACCATTTCATGAAATGGGCGATTTTACTATATGGTCACGAAAAATATATTGTATCCAGATTCGTTACTGATGTGAAAATATTGTCATCTTTTACTTCTTTCCACATAATTTGAAAACACGTTTTTTTTATTGTGATATTTAATGAGGAAAACCTGACATTTTGGAAGTGTGTGGTATCCACACATTTTTTACTAAACCTAAAAATAGCGGACTAGACTTGAAAATAAGCCAAAATCATAAAATATGGATTTTCTTGATAGTCAGTATTTACAAAACCATTAATTTGAAAATGCACCAAGAAAAGACTGGACGTGACAAGCAGACGAAAAAAGATTGAAATAAATCATAGCGTAAAATATGTTTTAAAGTATACCCAAGGAGGGTCCAAGGCCCGAACTAAAAGACTGATGTGCTCTTAGTTTTCTTAGTTCTTAGACTCCGATCAGAAGTGAAGCAAAGCTTATACAGGGTGCGGCAGAGAGGATGGACGGTTTTAAAAAATCATAAAATAGTTAATTTTTACTCGAAAACAAATTTATTCATGGAATCAGGTTCACAAGGAAATAGCATTTGAGACAGTCAAGTGTGGAAAATCACATCAGGCATGTGGTGGCCGAAATCGTTGATGCAGTACTGGAGGCGTTCTTGGAAGTTCGCGTAGACTCTCTCCAACATCGCCCTCTCAACTTGGGCGACTTCCACGCGAATTTCGCCCTTCAATTCGTCCAGAATTCGGGGCTTGTTCGCGTATACTCTAGCCTTGAGGTGTCCCCATAAGAAAAAATCGCATATGGATAAATCTGGGGACCGAGGAGGCCAATGAACATCGCCAAACCTGGAAATAAGGCGACCAGGGAAGAGAGGGCGAATAACGTCCATGGATGATCGGGCTGTGTGGGCGGTCGCCCCATCCTGCTGGATCCATATGCAAAATTCGCCTTACCGAACGATCACTAAGGCGAAATGCAGCAGCATGTTTCCGGGCAGATCGAGTCGGACTGCGAAGAAAGACCTGTCGAACGCGTTCAACATTTTCAGGAGTTCGAACTGTTCGCGGCGCTCCTCTTGGTCTTCTGTTGATCAGTTCACCACGCCTGCGAAGTGATTCAACCCAACGAAGGATGGTGTTTCGAGAGGGAACAGCTCTATTCCGATGAATGTTGAAGTGGAGACTAAACTCGCGCTGTACGACGATGACTGACTCATTATTCGGACGAAACAATCATAGGCGAAAACGCGATGCTCCACCGTCCAAGGCTCCATAACGACAACTGGTAAAAAATGCTAGGATCTCACGAGTCAAACGGCACCCTCCCCACCTCTTTCGTAGACGAAGGCGGAGAGTACTACACATCCCAAAAACGTCCGTCCTCTCTGCCGCACCCTGTACAATGAAACTTCTATATTGTAGAGGGTCTATTCGGGTTCATATTTCTGTTACCATCATTTCAAAGAGAAAGAAGGGGACCTGTGTATGGAGACCGGATATACGAGTACTTTACGTAGAAAACCATCTTCCTCGTAATCCTGGTATTTTTAAAGTACAATTGACAATTCTGTACTTGAAAAAAGCCACAGTGGTGACCGAAACGTTGTCGTCAGTTAATAGTATTTCAAGTATATGTAGTGTCATTTAGACGCCAGACAAACATGGAGGATTATTGACATAAAACCCACAGGATAAGTTTCAAGTGTTATATTCATCTTCCTCGTGTCTTAAGTCAACATTTGCTTGACTAATGAACATAACAACCGAATTTTAAATTTTTTGGACAGGGCCTTCAATTATTTTTGCCTTTTTCGTTAACCCTTTAATTTGTATCAACAGATTCTTGAAAAGTCATGCTTGTGTATGCAGTTTGCAAAATACCCGCATAAAGTTATTTTCTATACGGTATTCTTGCTTAAAATGACATAATGAATTAGTTGATATGTAAATCGCACGAAATTGATATGCCTTAATAGATGGTATTCATCACAAGATCATACATTGACAAAATCGACGAAATGCAAATATTACCGATGAGCAAAATCACACATAGTTATGCAAGAATTTTATACAATCTACAAGTGATTAAATTATATTAGCTAGGCACCGACACGTGCTACATCGCACTGTCCTTCCGAAAATGCGTGGATTAATAATGGAAAAAACGCTCATTACTCACCCTCCAGCTCCTTCTCAGTAAACTCTTTTTTCACAGACGAACTCTAAAACACACTACATTTAGTATAAAAAGTGACACATCACTAAGCAAAAAACCAACCCTTCTCCTTAGTAGCGGCACATTCTCCATGCTTTCTTCCTCCGTTGTTTCGATATTTTAAAGACCCACGATGTGTGCAGTTTAACGATAAACAACAACAACCAAATCTCATGTATTTCTAGATGTGTTGCGCTCAGTTCGATTGCCAGTTCATTTGCCAAAGTATTTTTTAGGAAAAAATCGCGCTAACGTATCGCGGCAACTGCTACACGTTCCACGCAAAACTAAATGTGCCTGAACGACAAAGTGTTTAGATAAAAGTTTATCAAGTGATAGACATGTGGTTGAAGCGGAATTACTTAGATGTTTGCTTTAGTCATACCTGTATGTGCAAAGCGTCAGCCAGTTTTTAAATACGGTCTGAGATAAGATCAACTACTTGAAGGATATGTTCATTTTACTTCCCGCCGATAAATGAGCGAGTATTTCAGTCGCGGAATTTTCGAATTATAGTTAATTTATTTTATTTCTTAAATCATTACGAGAATCCATATCTCTTATTTTCGTTGGTTTGTCCGTGTATTGGCATTTTCTAACCGCGCAAACATCTGCACTGATTTTGTTGAAATTTGGAAAAAGATTTGATGTGGTATCATAGTCGATGTTTTATTTTAAAACCGGAGTGACGACGAAGTTATCAGCAAAAACTAAAAACTTACGATCGCTCCCGAACTTCGTTTTAAATGTTCTGCAACTCTCTGTTAAAATGTTGAGCGTAATAATTTGTTGAAGACTGTCAATTTAAAAAAAACTAAAAAAAATATTCTTTGATGATTCCGAAGTTTCTGATCACATTAGAAATATGCTAAGGCTATTTTTTCACGCGGCGTGAACAAAATGGCAATTAAACAACATTTTGAAAGTACCAGTTAATCTAACTTGACACCATTTTTTCGTGTGGTGAATATTGTTCCGTAATTTTTCAAAATATGATATCAGCAGAACAGCTCTATGTTTCACACAGAGAAGACCTTGTAATTTCACCCTTTAAATTATGTAGGTTCTTTATGACATTATGTAGCTTTTTCTACTTCTCAACTAGGAACTATCTGTAGGCGCGGAATGAACTATTTGCACACTACCAGCTAACTAGTCAACAAGTTGACATTTTACCGGTTTTTTGAGATTATGTGTTTTTCACGTAATATTCCTACCGGTCCGTGTGCCAATGTGTGAAAAAGCGTCGAACATTTCAAAATGTCATTCATGATTACATCGAATAAAAAACTGGTGATACCTCTTACCACGTTTTGTTTTACTCAATTTCAACATCAACCCATTTTTATTGGAAAACTCTTTCTAATAGATTCAGAACCATTCTGATAGTCCCTTGTAGTACCCGACTAAAGATAATATTACATAATATCATTTTCCGAACTCCAACAAAATCGGTGCAGGCGTTACTGAAACTACATGGTGCCAAAAGAAGCTTTATGGACCTAGTCTATCAGACAAAATGAACGTCTATTATTTCAAATTGGAAAACATTCACGTTTAACATATGCTTTGCTCATCTTAGCAGGTCCAAAAATCGAAAAATCACTACACTGACCTATGCCCTTCACAAGACCGTATACCGCGAAATGCACATCACAACAATGGGCGGATTCCGCAAACTTCGCTCGCTCACGCGCAAATATTTAATATTTACACAATTCGCAAAAAATGCTGCTGTGCAAGACCGAAAAAATAAATATAATAAAGAGATTACACTGCCAGCCGCACGGACAAGCCATCATAAAATTCACAAGCGCGGCGCAAATATTTTGAAGTTTTCCGCTAAATTAGTGAGTCATTTTGGTTAATTGTGGGCGAATTTAGGCGGCCCTGGCTACCGAAATATCACCGTGATAGCTGCCAAGGTAAACGTAAGCGAGGATGTCCTGTTATCGTAAGGGTTAACAAAATATTCGTGTTGCTTATTATTGATATCCGAGAAACGTAGATCAGATATGTATTGCTAAATCTGTCTACTGGGATTTTTTTTGGAAACTTATAGATGATCTGGGCACTTTCCATATCCTTTCATTTTCCACGCCAATATACAGGGCTGCCCAAAAGTCCATCAACTCTGCTCATTGGCTTTTTGAAACGTTTTTTTGTCTGTTGGAGCCGAATGGTCGACATTTCTCTAACGGACAGTTTCGGGACCCTCTTATACCAGTGGACCGTCAGCGGTGTAGCTCTCTTCTAACGCTACGCCAATGGGGTTTGCTCCTCAGAGCTCTCCTCTATGATGTTTCGGCCTCTCATCCTAACCGTGTCGAACTTCGTACATCCAAAACTGGCCGATACGACCGCTAGTTTGTCCCTAAGTATCAAAACTCTGGAACAAGTTACATGAGGAGGCTTTTCCCGGTTCTAGTAAACTTAGGAAGTTCAAAAATCGGAGTGTCTTTATCCTCCTCATAGCAGCCGCGGTGCCCTGGCATTTACGCTTCTGCCTGCGCGCCTGCTTCTGTGTAAAGAAAACGTTTTTCAATTTAACTTCCAACCACACAAGCGCCGCCTAACAGGAGCAAAATTGGGCAATGCTGCCATTGTTATATATTAAGGTGGACAAGGATATTTCGTTGATTCCTGAAAATTAATCAAGTGAAATCTTGTGTTCTGTTAGCGCGCATGCGATCTTGCTCACTGTAAAACAGGCATTAATGAAACGTTTAAAGAAAACAGGTGGGACGCCTTGCTGTGTCTTCTCACAAGTCTTGCAACTGTATATATGAAGTTGATGCCTGCTTATTGGAAGCAGTTCTCTTGACATTTCCGTGTGTTTTGACCAAAAAAATGAAACAAGAGTATCGCCATAAATGATATATATTTCATAATAGTAAGGACAAAGTGGTATACTAGCATTACTATACTTCATAGAACTATAAGATGAAAAGACTTTCAGATATGATAGTTCCATTTTTGACAAACATTATCTAAGAGAATAACCCTCTAGTACCTATCTTCTATCACAGTCTGACTATATGAAAGATAAATATGTTTATACTTTTATATATTATCTAAGCAACAAACTCTTCTTTAATAATAGTTCCTATGCTGTCTTCCACTAGAATGATGAGATTTTGATTGTTTAACTCACTAAGGACGTTTTGTGGTATTTGGAAGGAGAATTTCAATACTTTGCTGATAAAAACCCAACTCTGGAGAATTAGCTCATCCTCTGTTTGTCTTATCTCAACCACTCTGACACCTGCTGTCGACTTTACAACTTTATTTGAACTGTCAAAAGACAGATGGGAAGTCTGGGTAGGGTAATTGTTCAACCACCTAAAAACAAATTTGCCATAGATTACTTATATCATCTGTCCTGAATTTTGGATCAGTATTCTTTTTATCTGATAGAATAAACAAAACAGTTGTTTTGAATACAACCAAGAGTGATTGAGACTCATGTACTGGATTTCATAAAGACTGAGAATTTGGCAAACAGTTTCAAGTTCAATTATTTGATCCTTTAGGGTATTATAATATTGAAACAAGGTGCAAGAACTGCACAATAAAAGCTATTAAACTTATACCTATGGAAGCTCAGTAATACTGCACAACTCTTAGTTAACAGAGTATCATCAACCTCTTCAGTCCTTCTGATGACAGTAAAATCTTTCTTCATATTCTTGTCAACATGTTTCAAGCTGCAAGTGCTAAGTTGCTCTTTAAATTCAATCTTATTATGGAAGCTGGATGACTTGCATATTTGTGGATTTGTGAAGACCTTGCAAATGTTGTCAAAACCTCTTCCCATGATACCATCTTTTGAGTGTCCCAAATCAAAAGTGTGGTACAATTCATGGAGTACTGAGCCTAATGTTGTGGAGAAACAAGATCCCACTGTACCTCTGAAACATTTAGATAATATTTTATGTAGAATAAGTAACAAAACATATCTGTGAAATTTAAAACAAAGTGTCAAGTAAGAGTAACAGTTAGATCTAAGGAGGCAGTAAATAAGGAGACAATGTGTATATTGAGCCTATGTAAAGTGGTCCAGTGGTGCAGTGCTTTTATGCTGAATAACAGAGTAGCCATACATAAAATTTAAGTAACATTTATATATCTGTGTTTAGTGAGCATGGAAGCTTTGACAGTTTGAAACATTAGATCATCCAACTATCAAATTAGATAGCTTAGCGAAAACTGCTGTCAACCTGACAAAGCTATCATATGGGTGCCATTCAATCTCAAAGATGCTGCACTGTTGTTCTATTTCTGAACCCTAGAAAAATTGAAATGTCCAAGCCCTAGATCTGGTACTGGCTTTACCTTAGCCAAAATAAGACCACCAACTATATTTTTTGATTTTTATCTATCCATCTTATGATCAATTTATTGAACCTTACCTGTAACAGCTATCATCTAAAAACTGAGTTCTATCAATTGGTGTATCATCTTCAAATCTGCTTATCACATCATCAAAATGCTCAGGCCAAGTAAAGAGACATGCTGTGCCAAACAAAGCTAAATTACCCCCACCTAAAGCTACATAACCCTTGGTGATCCCTAAAAGCTCTTCATGAGTCTTCATACCATCAACATATTGCTCACCACAGTAATGTGTACATGATAAAAATGCTAAGTACTTTTTATTCTTTGATCCACTGAAGGAGCTGATTATATCTTTGCCAATATTTTGCCACAGTTCCATTTGATTCATCTCTTGGGCTTTTAGGTAATCTATTGAACTTTTAAAGATTCTACAGTTTTCTTGAATCTGGAAGGTCTTTCTTCCCAAATCATGTTCATTCAATTTCTCAGCAGTTACACACTGTAGCAATTTCAGACATAGCATTATTCTTTTACAGGCACTCTCTGGGTTATTTCTTTCATTTGCTGGGGCTTGAAAGCACCCACTGTGGCCTTCACATATCACATACAGGGGTATCACAGTATTTGGCAACTCTTTTGGAACATAATTTATATCAAGTTGAATGGTATCACAACAGTAATGGATCTGAATTTCATTCTTACCATTATGTAGCTCAATCAGAAATTTGAATATTTTGTTGCTTATATTTGCAGAGTATTTTTTGTCATTCAATGTAAGTGATACATTTTCACTGATTCCTTTTTGACAAAAGGGCTCTTCAATATTCCCTAGAATTTTTATTATCGAGTATGAAACCACATCTGAGTCCTGGAAGTTGACTATTTTCAAATTATGGTTGCTCATTCTTGATTGCTTATCGTGGTCCTAAATATTTTATTTGCATTGATAAATATTAAAGCTGTTATAGATCAACGAATAACATGTATGAATAAATACACAACTGTGTTTGAAGCAAGTTTGAAGACATCCATCTCGACAACCACAAACATAACCTCGACGCAAACAGCTGATTGTTAGTTGGCTGTCAGCAGTTAGTCATGTGTCGTTCGCGAACGAGTCGTTCAAAATGAACGACTCATCTAAGTGAGCGATGATTGAACGACTCTTTTGGTACATAATGGCTCGTTCAATTGTGCAAAGCGTATCTGCAGTATGCAGCAAATGAACTGCGAACTGACAACCTGGTAACAGTACAGACACTATCTAGGGAACCCAATTGTTTTGTTTCGAGATCCTATATTCTCTGACTCAGTGAGTCGTTACTATAGGCAACACAATACTCTCGTCAGCTTCGAAGCCGATCGGTAATTCTATCGTTCAAATGAACGACTCCGAACGAACGACTCACTGAAGAGGGATGAACGAAATGAGCGACCTCAGAGAAAAGAGTCGTATGTCTCAAGACTGAGCATAAAAAAGAACAGTTATGGGAGAAGGGTAACACGCCGATTTCGATCAATAGGTACGTTGTTGTCATCGTTCTTGGTGGGTCAAAGTAAGACTACCAGTATCCCTTTATATATTTACATCTCCCTCATACATACGCATGCAACCTACCCCTGTGTGTGGACGTTTGTTCGGTAAGCTCAAAGACATACGTTTTTTACTTGTGTGTCTCCGTCTCGAAAACTTTGTCGTTACGTATGAGCGCACTTCAGTCATATTTGTCAGAGTGGCAACTTACTTGACATCGGCGTGCATTCGAGTTGACCTGTTATCAATCTTTAATCTAAATTGTACAATGCCCGGAATTGCGGTCAATGGAGAAGGCCGACAGCTCGTACTAAATTTATTAGTGTATTTCCAGGAAGAGAATGAAAACAGCGGTCTCCTGGCACCCACTTCATGCATACCGGAGAGAGGAGCAGATGCGCTGAAAATTAGTCTGCGCAGTGTTCCTGCCATGGTACGGAGACTCGATCTGCTTAGTTACTTCATATGCCGTTGATGACGTAACCGCCAAGAACGGTGTCTGTGGCACACAGCCTTAAGCCATGTACATATATGTAACAACACCGCGAACCGAACCTCGCCGCACTAGTTTAGATGGTGAAAAGAACGCCGTCGTGAACCTAATTAGCGTTACAGCTCGCCGTTGGACCCGATCCAGGCTCTGTCGATTTTTCAGCGCAACATCAAAGGAATCGCTGGCGACGAAGTTGCACATGTTTTGTAATGTAAAATAATTATTTTTCTCACTTGTATATTTTCATTTAAAACTTCGATCAATGTCCCACAACTTCTGGAATGATGTAGCTGATCGATTGCTTTGACATTCGAAACATATTGCTAACCACTGTATAAATCACCTGTCGGTAAAAATCGTACCGAGACTGCAAGTCTTTCTTGTACTGTGATGGTAGCAGCTCTCCATTTTGTATCTTGTCGTCGCATTTTTGGTCCAATGAACGTGAGAAGATATTCAAAGTCTGTCGGACACTTACTTGTTGAAATTTCAATTC